ACTGAGAACAGCACCCAGCCAGCATAACTTTACCTCCATCCTCTCATTTCTGCTCTGTTTAGGCTTTGAACATTTGCCCTGAGTCCAGAAGAGATCTGGGAGACTCCAAAGCTTGCTGCAAGCATCTTAATTATGAATCCATCTTTTTTTCCTCCTTAAAAAAGCTTTGCTCTTTCCTGCTGCCTTCAGTAGACGAGTCCTGCAGGTGGCTGAGACCAGGATAGCCGTCTAGTTCATCGTACCCTGTCCTGCAGTGGCCAGCCAGACGTCCCCATGGGAAGCCCACACAGAGGAGAGAGAGGAGGACAGTAGGCCTTCTTCCCTGAGCATTTCCAGCATCCATCATTCAGAGCCAGACTGCCTCTGAACCTGGAGGCTCCACCTGGCCACCGGGGTTGACACAGCATCCTCCATGAAATGGGCACTACATTCAGGACAGACAAAAGAAAGTACCTCTCCATGCAGTGCATGGCTATATTTGCTCCCACGTGAGGCAGTGATGGCCACCAAGTTGTGGGGCTCCAAAAGAGGAATAGACCAATTCATAAAGGATGCGGCTTCTCTCCCTCCACTGTCAGAGCCATCTGCCTCTGAATGCCAGTTGCCAAAACCTCAGGAGAGGAGAGGGCTGTTGTGCTCAGGTTCAGGTTGCAGGCTTCCCATTGGGTGGCCTGGGGGTCACTGTGAGAACAGGATGCTGAACCCGATGGGCCACTGGCCTGATCCAGCAACAAGGCTCTTTTTTGTTGTTGTCGACACTTTCATTGTCTTTTCTCATATTACCTTATTTAGTCAAGAAACGCAACAGACTGCAACAAGAATATAAAAACAAAACATGCATAGTTTGGTTCTCTTCATATCTTTATTTAAAGTCGCCCAATTCCATACATTAATGCAGGGTTCTTGCCCGTCCTGAGTTCTAATATGATGGGAGAGGAAAAAATGACATCTCATTTTCTTGCTAGCATACCCTCTACTACAAGTGTTGCCTGTTGGCTTTAAGGCCCTGAGAGTTTCAGCTTCTCCAGCCAGTTACTTGGACATTGCCATCTGCCTGATGTCTCTCCCTGCAGATGCTGAGCAGATCTTTCTCTGACACTCTCGTTTCCTTGCCAGGTATCTGATTGGCGAGGAGGGGTACTGCCTGACCTCCCTGCAGAGCGCCCTCTCCTACGTGGAATCCCTTCGCCGTCCCATCCTGCAGAAGTAGCTGAGCTCTGCCCTGGGGTGCCAAGGCGACGGCCTCCCCCTCTTTCCTTCTCCCTCGGATGGGAACACTTCTGCCCCCCCTCCTCCAGTCTGCGAGATGACAGCTTGCGGTGTTCTCCAGAGGGGCCCAACTTCCCCCCCTGCCTGCAAAAAACAAACCTGCTGAGGAGGAGGAGGCCTCCTGCCCCTCCCTGGACTCTGTGCAATATTGGCAGGGGACATCTTCATAGCCTTTTGTATTAGCCTGAAATGTTGGAAAGGGGTCCCTGCCTTGCAGCATGGACTGGATGTGGGAAGGGGGTGGTATCTGACACTACCCTGGCTTTGGGGGGGGGTGCCTCTCCCGAGCCTCGGTTTGCTGCTGACTTTCTGCCTGGATGCACTGGGGGGGACAACGAGAATCAGGCTGTTCCCCTCTCCTGTTTCCCTTGGCTAAGGAGAATCCTCTGTCCCTGTCCCTCCCCAGATCCATTGTATTTGCTGCTGGGTCCAAGGAAGCCAAGTCCCTCTGCCCATCATAATGCGGGAACTCCTTTTAGCATTTGCAAGAGCAGTGATGGGCACCTGCCTAGGCCAGCATCTCCTGCCACTACTTCCACCACCACCCAGCCTGCATGCTCCCTCTTGCATCCTTGCTTTTGCTACATGGGTGGTCTGCGGTGGGGAATCAGGAAAAAGGGGGCAGGGGGCAGAGATCCTGCTGGGATTCATACTGTGAGGTAAGAGAGGGGAGTCTGATGTTGTATGTGTGTGTGTGAGAGAGAGAGAGAGACGTATGGATGTTACGTGCATGTATGCTTGGTGAAGCAGGGTAAGACCGGTTCTTATCCACTCCCACTCACTGAAATCATGGGATCAGTGCAGTTTTTAGAGGCTGTTTGCACCGCCTCCCAAGTGCATGGATTTCAGAAAAGAGTGATTGTGTGAGAGAGAGTGTTTGTGTGTGCGTGTGTCAGAATTTGCACGATCTACTGAAGATAAGCTTTGGGCCACAGTGGAAGCAAAGCCCTGGACCATGAGCATTTTGAGGCCTCTGGATGAATTTGCACAAAGCCCCTGCAGGTGTGTTGCCTGAGTTGCAGTTGAGCCACGCACTGCAGGACTTCCCTCTGCTACATTTTCCGGAGGAGTCAAACGGGACTTTGAGAAGGGAGGCCCTGTGATACCTGCCTGAGCCACACCTGCGCTGTAAGCCCTTCCAAGCTGGGGGGAGGTTTCGAAGAGCAGAATGGGGAGCAACGGGTCTGATGGGGGTGATCTTCCTCCTTCCTCCTACTGTTATTATTATTGTGAATATTTATTTATGATCACACTCCTCACTCTTTCCTCCAAGGAGCTCAAGCTGGCTTACGTGCTTCTTCCATGTGAGCCTCACAACAGCCCTGCGAGGTTGGCTAGCCCCTCTGCTGCAAAGACACATTGGCTGCTGTTAAAGGCAGGGAGCAGCGAACATTGTAAAGCAATGGGGGTCCAGCTGCTGCTGTTCATGCTCAGCGCTGCCTCCTCCTGCAGTGCCCCTGCCTGGCCAGCCATGACTCCTTGAGCCTAAATTGCTGGTTCCTTCCCTTTCCACTTGTCCAGCTTTGCTCTTGGTGGGCTGTAATAAACTGTCTTCTGGCTGCTCAACAAGTCGTGTTTTTTTTGAAAGCGGGGAGGGAGCATTGACGGTTGGGTGGAGACATGCTTTTATGAGTTCTTCCCCTCCACTCAACATAGCATCAGTTTGGGGGATCATAAAGCCAACTTGCCTGATCATTGAATGAATTTAGTTGGCCACACACTTTGGGGAGATGGCAATAGACCAGACCTGCAGAGGAGCGGAGGGGTGATGGACTGTTTGTGGCTCACTGGAGGTATTCTAAGCAGGGCCTATTTTCACCCCCTCCCACCTCTTTGCAGGAAGATGTGAAGACCAATCCCAGGCTCGTCAACAGTGTGCAACTTTTATCTTCTGTACTGCTCTTCCTCTCCCTGGATTCAACAGCACTGGGTTGGGGCAGGGGTTAGTGCCAATCTCCCAAGCCTGTTGCAGCTGCCCATGCAACCATGTTATGCTAACCACTTCCTCTTCCATGTGAGAGTTGTCGTGAGGATATGCCATTTCTGTGGAACCCAGCAAAGAGTGGGGAGAAAACTGAATTGGGGCATGTGGAGAGATCAGAGGATGGTCCTGGCTTCAGCCCTGAGTTGTTGGGGGGAGAGAGCCCAGCAGGGCTGAGAGAGAATATGCAAGGAGAAAGGGCAGTGTTCATCAACCTTGGGTCCTCCCTCAGGTGTTGGACTACAATTCCCATCATCCCTGACTAAGCCAGCAGGGGATGATGGGTGTTGTAGTGCAACAAAAGCTGGGGATTCAAGTTTGAAGAGCACTGGTCTAGAGGAAGAGGAGGTGTAGGCGAGGTGTGTTTGGGGGTTCAGAGATGAAAAGTGGGCCAAAAGAGAGTTAAAACCCACTGAGTTAAAATGGTAACAAAAGTTCTGTTGCATGCTCCCAAATCTCCAAGCAGCAAAAGACTCCAGGGGAGTCCTGTGCTTACCTAGGGTTCTGTTTCCTTTGAATGAAGGTCAGCGGAGGCTGCAGTGTTTTTCAGGAAATATGGTTTTATTTAACACTCCAGCAGGTCTTGCTTCCCCATTTGGTTTCCAGAGAAGCCCCAAACCACAACTTTGGGTCCAACACAGAGCAAGACAAGCCTCTATGTCTCCAGCTTCCAATATCAGCCAAAACACACACCCAGCCCCACCCCACACCTTTCTTCCTCCTAGGATGACTTGGCATCCAGCCAGGTGAGGTGAGAAAAAGCCCACCCATTTGACTCTGGCATCAAGACAACCACTTTGGGCATGTAAATGGCTGTACTTAACTAGCCAGTTAAGGCCATTGCCTTAATGAAGGAGCTGTCACCTTTCTCTTACCCCACAGACACAGAATCACAGGTTTGGAATGGACCCATGGGTGTCATTCAGACTGAACCCCCCCCCCAAAAAAAAACCCTATAAGAGTTCTTTTCTGCTGCAAGTGAAACAAAGCCACATGGCCCTCTTGAATGTAAGTGTGATTTGAATGGTTCTGCTACCATTGAGCTGGACCAGGGCAGGGGATTGAGGCAATTTACAGTGAGTCTCAAAGAGAAGTTTATATTCATTTAAGATCTATCTCTTCCCAGGCCTGTAAGAAGGACCTTAACAAACATCTTGTGGTATCTTAACAAGAGGGATGTGTTTTCAAAGACAACAATCTGCCCTCTGGGTGGGGTTTTCCCGACTCCCCTCCAACTTCTGCATGTATGGCCCCTTTGTTCTTCGATAGAAATCGTTTAACACAAAAACTCCTGCCCACCAGAAAGGGAGATGAGATGCTTCTCATTCTTTTTTCTTTCCTTGCAGAAAGGCACGTACTTTCTCTGGAAAGGAGGGGGCCTTGGAAAACAGCTAGTGGGAGCCAGGCAGGGACCTTCAGTGCTGAGCTATCCCAAATATGATTGCATTGCTGCAAAATCCTTGCTTCGGAATGGGTTGGTTCGTGTGGATTGAAAACGTGCTTTCCTTCATCTAGGGGAGGGGTCTGAAATGGTGCCTGATTTCTGCCCAAATTCAAAAGGGTCCTTGCAACACCCCCTTCTCCTCAGTGTTAACCCTTGCAAATATCAACTGGGGCTGCTGTTCATTGCTACCCTGTAGTCACCCACCCCAGAAGGCAGATGCCCAGCCAGCAACCCCCCCCAAGACCTCCTCCAAAAGGCACTTAAAAGAAAGAGGGAGAGGGAGAGAAAGGAAAGGAAAGCACAATAGATAGTATTAAGGGTTTATTAAATATAATACAATGTTTAGTGAAAGGCGCAAATGAACATGGCAAGACGGGGACAGGAATGTGCAGCAAGTGCTTGGCTGTTGGCATCTCTGTCTCTCTCCTGCACCCTCCTCTCCAGGCTAGGTGGGCCACAGGCCATTTCCAAATGCTGGGCTGCACTTAGGATGGGGGGGGGGAGAGATAGAGAGACTCAAGGGCAGGGTGTCTTTAGAGCAAGGAAACTGGTGCCTTGGAGGCTGGAACCATCTGCCTGGAAGACAGGACATCGTTAAGGTAGTCCAAACGGGTTGGGTGGGCTTGTAGGACACACAGTGAGTCCCCAAAGCAGGGGTTGCTCGGTAAGCAGCTCATAATTTTGCAATGGTTGTTTTATTTAAAGGCAAATCTAACACAACCCATCTTGTTTCTGGGATGAGAGGGGCCCCTCTGAACTAAGCCACAAATGCCCAGCATCCCCCCTGGCCTCCTTAAACCCTCTTTCGCCACCACTGGTACTTGATGTTTCTCCTTATCCCTGCCCAATCTTGCAAGCCCACCCACCACAAGACTCTCCAGGCAGGCTGTTGAGGTGCAACCAGCTAGAGGACCAGAGCTTCCCTGGGGAGGGTCAGGCTTGGTTGTTCAGAGGAGCTTCTCCCTCTCTCAACCAGATCCACCACCAGATGATCCACTACCTCCCTGAAGTGGCTCATGCCGGTTTCTATGTGTGATGTTGATGCTCCCTTTCTGTGCCCATCTGGCTCTGAAGAAGGGCCAGAGCAGGAGAGAAGGAGCCTCAGGGCTGAAAAGCACCCTTTCCCTACCAGTCAGGCACCAAGGAGAGACACAGGAGGTGGCAAAGGGGAGGGACTATGGGTGGGTATGGCTGGCAAGTCTCCTAGCCGGCGCCTCAAAGCTTCCCTTCCAGCGCCAGGGTCTTGAGGTCCGCAGGCGAGCTGGCATTCAGCACCGTATGTGAGACGATCCTCTTGTCCACCAGGGAAGCCACGGCCTCTCCCACCTCCAGGTGGCTCACGTACCCGGGGCCCAGGCGCTCTGGCGTCGTCACACCCATGTTGATTTTCACCTGCCAGGGAAAGCCAAGACAGTGCCAGAAGAGACATTGGGAGGGGGGAGGCTGCGCCAGCCATCCACTGATCTGCACACAATTGGGAAGCCCCCCAGACATTGTTGGATTCAGACTCCCAGCACCCAACAAAGCCAGTGGTCAGGGATGATGGGAGTTGTAGCGCAGACACATTTGGAGGGCGACTGATTTCCCCATCCCTGCTGGATGGACCCTGCCAGTCAGAGACTTGTGGCTCACTGGGATCAATTAAAGTCAGCACAGTTGCCATTTTATTTATCCCAGACCCATGGTGAACCTCTAGCAGCACAACTCAGCACCTTCAACTGCCCCACCTGCAGTCCGCCATTGTCTACTGAGGCAGACGGATGCCAGCAACACCCTGCCTGACAGGTTGCTTTGATCTCAGTCATTCAGAAGATTTCCCCCAAAGTTCTGCGTGAGTTAAAGGTTCCGCGGAAGATCTGCTGGGTTTGGTGCTAGAAAGAGGCTTGGAAGGAGCTGTAGGGAGAGCGCTGAGCATCAGGGTTGAGTCTGCCTGGGGACTATTCTCCTCACACACACATTTCACAGAGAAACCTCAAAGTCTCCAGCTCTCTCTCCTGCAAGGAAAATCAACCCCACAGATCAGTAGCCAACATGGACTACATCCCCATCTTCCCTTATTATTGAGCCATGCTGGGACTAATGGGAGTCAGGACCCAACAGCATCTCCTGGGTGCCACATTGGCTACTCCTGCTGTTGATCTGGCTACTAGCCATGCTGGCTATGCTCTGCCTCTATGGCTGGAGGCAGTATCCTTCTGAATGGCAACCACAGGACAGGAGTGTGCTCTTGTGCTCAGCTGCTGCTTGCGGGTTTCCAATTGGGGCAGCTGTGAGAACAGGATGCTGGACTAGGTGGGCCTGTGGGCCTGATCCAGCAGGCTTTTCTTATGTTCTTAGATGCTGAACACCCCACTAATTACAGCCCTGGGAGGGCAAAATTACTCTCCACAGTGGGTAGGGAGCTGGCTCACCCACCAACAAACCCAGCACTGACCTCATTCAGCTTGCAGGGAACGTCTGGGTACTCCTCACGGACCATGAGGGAAAAGGCCAAGGCCCCTGCTGCCCCCAGTGTCAGGAAGCCTGTGCCTGGCATGAGGAGGCGCTCCCCAGCCCCTCCTGAAACAGAGAAGCTGATTTAGCTGGGAGGGAAGGAAGGAAGCAGCTGCCATCACCACCAGTGGCTGAGTCAGAAGGTCCAGGGTTCAGTCCTCACTCTTTCCATCTAAAAGGATATGTTTGCAGCCAATGGGAGGACTCCCAGACAACCTGCTTTTTGAATATTCATCCCGATTTGTTTGTAGGGAACTCTGATGATGTCTACATCATCAAATATATGCTTTGATGAGACATTTTCCAGTGCATTTCCCCATCAATTCCCTTATTGCGAAAAGTCCAGTCTTTGTGGGCGGAGCAGGTTTGTTGTGCAAGACTTCCTGGCCAACTATAATTGCGCAACCTGAATTTGTTGGTATGTGATTGAATCCCACCTGGAAACAGTCTGGAAGCACCTTGAGACTCCAGCCACTGCTAGCCTGAGAAGGCAACACTGGGCTAACAAGTCGTCTTCTTCCCATGTGCCTGGGTAGCTCTCAACAGGGCAGCTTTTGTGCCAATGATGGCTCAGTCCCTGCCAACCTAGCCTCACAAGGCACAACCTGCTGCCCCACAAATGCTGGTCATCTGCCCACATGCTCAGGCATGCAGGACTTAATTGGAGAGAGGGTATGGAAAGGTAGAAAAGCAATGAGGGCCTGCGAACTGAAACGAAAGGTGCATTTCTATTGCTACTGGGCAAGAGAGGCTGGCTGAAGCCCCAGTAAAAGTTCTCTCCCCAAAGTTATCTTCTGCAGACCAACCCAGCTCATCTCACCAGTGATGAAAGTGTAGGTCCCATCTGCGTTGTCCTTCACGAGGGGGAAGAAGGCCTTCCAGGCAGTGAAGGTGCTGAGAAGGAGGGTGTCCAGGACCTGTGGGAGAGGAAACAGACGGACACCCGTGTTCATTGTCCCAGCTGAAGTATCCCAAGAGTCTCGAGATCCACACAATCACACCTCTTCTGCAAATGTGATCCAGTTACAGTTTTCTTAAAATTAGGAATCCGCCTCTCTGCCACTACAAACCATGATCTGTGGGCCAGTTATTCCTGTCTCAGCTTTTTGCATTGCTTAAAAGCACCGCTGCCACTTCCGGTGTTTCTATCAACATTCTACCTGATGGCTGGCCTTACCCCAAAGCCCTCAACCCTGGCTTGGCCAGCATCAAGGAGAAAGTGCTGCTCCAATGGGCAGAGATGTGTTGTTATAGCACTTTCCAGTATATAATTGCAGAGTGCCAATAAGACCAACTCAGGGGAAGAGTACCATTATCATAGAAATGGCCCCAAAAGCCAGCAAACAGAATCTATCCATCAGAGAAAGGGAGAAGGAAAGAGAATGGGAGAGGGTTGATCTGGATAACTTTGGGTTCCTCCAGACAATCTGTTTTGCTTGCACAAAGCTTACACAGAAGTTATACAGTGTCCTATCTGATTTTCTTGCAGGCAGGTCATATATGAGCATTGAACCTGATGTCCTTGTGGGGTCTTTATGCATCTTCCCATTCATAGGAGCCAACTCCTAGGGGCCATGGGGGCTTTGGCCCCCACAATAAAATATTTGAGGGGGCCGGGCCCCAACAAAGTTGATGGGCGTTCTCATTCAAATGGTGTGTACACTGCATCATGTGATTAATTATGAAGGGCAGGGGCTTACTTGGGCCCCTACAATATTTTATTCAAGTTGGTACCCCTGTTCCCATTAATGATTTGTTCATCCCACACTTTTGAATGCATTTCCCCATCACTTAATTTACTGCAAAAAAAGGCCAGTTTTCTAAATGTAAAAAAGTGGATTTGTTGTCTTAGGGTGACAGAGCCAATTGCACAAACCTACATTCCTGGTATGCACTAGAATCCTTCCTGCAAAACAGGGACAATCTAGGGGCACCCCTGTTTCTGATCTATTTCCCTGCTCACCCGGTGCAGCTCCTTCAGGGTCTGAGTGAGAGGGGGACCCCCTTGCCACCAGCTGAAGCCCAAGGAGGACACCACGTCCGTCACCTTCCCAGTGCTCTTCAGCAGAGCCTCCTTGGCTGCCTCTGCACCTTCCTCAGAACCTGGATGGATGGGAAAAATTTAGGAGCAGAGATAGTGAGACCAGGTGGCTGCATCCCCCAGCATTATCAATCTGTACTCCCAAACAGCCCAGAGCCTTTCCCCTCCTGCCAAACTCATGGAGGAAGAAAAAAAGCTAGGCCACCCAAGGGTCTTCACCTACAGGTGGCCTGCCAATAACAGCATGATGCCTGTATCCTGCAGACAGGATGCTATGGCTGTCTTGCAGGTGTAAATGGTCCATAAGGATTGCAGCATCAGTGACCCAGATTGCAGGCTGGTGCATCCCACAGCCACTGTGACATCCTGTGCAGGTGCAGTTGGCCATGGGACCCCAGTTATTTGGTGGCAAAATGACAGCATACTTGGCTCAACTAAAGCTCCACTGAGCATGCTGGGGATTCATCTTCAAACCTCAAAAAAAGAGAGAGAATTGCCCTCAACTGTCAGGGCTTCCTTAAAAAGAAAAGAAAAAGTAGGCTTGAGTTTCCTTGCAACAATTTGAATTTGTATTTTCCCAAGAGAATTCAGGTACTTTCTCCTATTTCTTTTCTTCTTCTTCAATGCTCCCAGTTATGGACCATCACCTTCCTCTCTTTTTATTTATAAAGTACCTTGAATTCTAAAGGCTATAGGATTGTATGTGGGTGTTTACTGCAGTGGTGCTCATTGCTGCCTTAATTTTATCACAATATCTTTCGATGCTGGCCGTCAAAATGTAAACCCTGAAATGCTTTCCCAGATTCATGCAAAGGCTGCCTTTGGCTCTGCTTTTCTGAAAGCAGCCTTGATCAGCTCTTTGCTGGAGGGGGCCGTACAACCGCCTGCAGCGTGAAGGCTGCCTGTCTGCTGGGCGCCTTCTGCCTTCCCTTTTCCTAGCTCTGGACACCTCAATAAATTTGTGCCCCCTCCACCATCCAGCCCAGCCGCCTCCCGGGACATTATGGAGATACCGTTCCAGCAGGGATGGAAGGACCTGTCTTTTTCACTTCTCTCGGTTTCTCATTTGTCTAAACTTAAATTCAATTCTCCACATTTTTGCAGAAATTTGAGGGTTTTTAAAAAAATCCTTATGAAAATTCACCAGCATTTTAGTGTTAAGTTCTCCTAATAAACACATTTTTATATGCAGTTTTGAATAATGTACACTTTTTTTGCAAGCAGTTTCCCTCAATATAATTTATTTTTTGCATCTTGTTTTCTGCATTCTAATGCACACTTTCCCCTCATATATGCATTTTTGTAAGCACGGGTGGTTGGAGAACTGCATTTGGATAAATATCAGCTTCGAAGAACAGTTGTGTTTTGGTTCGCATATTAGTTTGGAAAGTGCAGATTTGACAAAATCACCTTTAGATACAAACTAAAATGAATTTCTCCATCATCCATACATTTCAGCCCCCACTCCCTCTGCCCAGTATTTCCCCACAGCAGCCCCACACTCATGGCCCTCAGAAGCACTGCAGCCGAGGTCTTACACACAAAGTCTTACCTACGTCCCCAACCAGGGTGTGCAGCCTCTGGCAGGCTGATGGAGGCAGGAACTGTTTCAGCTTCTCCAATCTGCTTCTGTCTCGAGAAATGACAGCAACCTGGAAGCCTGCACAGATGACAAAGGATCAGAGGAGGCAACGCCCTGGGCACGAGGAGGGGGCATGGATGCCATTGTATCAGTTCCTATGTCTGGTTGATGGCGGAACAGCTGATGAAACGGAGCTCAGCCTGGTCTTGGCAACTGTTTTTAATGCTAGGGCTCAGGCCTCAGGCACATGAGTTAATGAGAGAGACACAAGTGGCTTCTGGGTGTGTGCAAAGTGCTTCCAAAAAGCACAGTAGTCACAGATACTGTCCCCCTCAACACACACACATGCCTGATATTAGAATATTAGAACTTCCATGGTATATTTGGGGCTCATCACCGCTTGGTAGAAACAAACAATTGGTAGCAGGAGTCAAACAGATCAGAACACTATGGAAAGATAGTTGAATGTGCAGCTGCTGGACTCAGACAGCCCCAAGTATATGCATTCAGGCAGACACACACAGACACAGTCAATGAATCTCAACCCAGGCTCTTGCAAGATGGAAGGCACGTCAATGTAAGCCTTACCTTTCTCCAGCAGCGCCTTGACAATGCCAGAGCCCACTGTGCCAGCTCCGCCAAGCACCACCACTACCCGGTCCGATGCAGACATCCTGGCAACGAGAGGCTGTTCAGAGGAGAGTCGCCAAACGACAAGTGGGGCTGCGGTTTCCACGCAGGAGAATAAGTAGGGAAAGCAGCACCTAAGAGTCCCACCTCCAAGGAAGCAGAGCCCAACCCACCACCCTGTATCTCCACCTCCTGGTCCTGTTCATGCTGCACATCTTGAGCCTCGGGTCCCACAACCTGGCAGGCAATAGATCCTTCCCCGAGATGGTCTTGATGAAAGTGATTGCCGGCCTCCCAATGTCCCACGTAAACTGAAGTCACTTTGGCTGCAGTCTTGGCTTGTTACGTAGGTGATGGGCTCAGCACGTGGCTTGTGGGGTGCCGTGGTCTCCGTCCTCAAGATTATGGCAAGCTAAGGTGCAACGAACTTCCCCGAGTCTCTGATGGGGGGCTCAGCTGGCTACATATGTCGTCTTTGACTTGAGTTCAAAGAATGGAAGAGAATGGGGACCATGTGGACAGGCAAATGTTGGTATCAGTGGAGAGACATGTCACAAAACAGACAAGTACATCACTGCCCTCTTGCAGTGTCAATCTACGCAGTGAAGAGAGCCACAGATTGTGTTCAATAACCATCCAGATACAGTGGTACCTCGGATTAAGTACTTAATTCGTTCCGGAGGTCCGTACTTAACCTGAAACTGTTCTCAACCTGATGCACCACTTTAGCTAATGGGGACCTCCTGCTGCTGCCGCGCCGCTGGAGAACGATTTCTGTTCTCATCCTGAAGCAAAGTTCTTAACCTGAAGCACTATTTCTGGGTTAGCGGAGTCTGTAACCTGAAGCGTATGTAACCTGAAGTGTATGTAACCCAAGGTACCACTGTATTTATTGCAGAGGGGGAGGAGTTTTGATCCTTCCCTCTAACTCCAGCTCGCTCATGATTTGGGAAACTCCATGGTTCTGCAGTGCATGCAGAGGCTATTCATTGCACTAGACACCCCACATGCCTGCTGGCCCTCTGGCAGAGTGGAACCAAGCTAAGCATTGCAGACGCTGAATTATTGGCCCAAAGCGAAGCACCAGGCCACGTGTATTGCAATAAATGATGATAAGCTTATAAGTGAATGCACAGAACAGCCTCTCTCTGAGGGGCTGACCAGAAGAGGTATGGGGTAAGGTTGGGGTACATTGGAAGAAAGCACTTTGCTCATGAAGATTTGCAAAATGAATGCAAAATGAAGAGCACCAGTCCTGGCCTGGCCAGATGTTTTTGTGGTTTGAGTTGAACTGCAGTGGAGTGACAGGAAATGTGAGTTGGGAAAGGTATCCGTGGCAGAGCACCTGCTTTGCATGCAGAAGGTCTCAGGTTCAATCCTCTTCAGGTAGACCTGGGAGAGACCCACGGCTGAAACCCTGGAGAGGTGCTGCCAATTATTTTTGACAAACTGAGCTAGATTGACCAGCAGCCTGACTCAGTATAAAGCAATTTCCTGTGTCCCCGTTTCCTGGGATGGGAAGTTCCTGGTTGGGCAACGTAATCTGGTGGCGGCATCCCTGCTTCCCTCCCTGGGCCTGTGGCTCAAGAGTGCCACCTTGTGTTCTTAGTTTGAAGCAACACCACTGTGGGGGCCAGAACTGCAGGACAAGACTGTAAGGAAGGTGAGGAGTCATTGTAGGGGGAAGAAGAGGGAGGCAGAGGCTGCTGGCTGGAGGTGCCAGAAAGAGGGTAAAAGTTGGATCCAGGAAATTAAAACCAAATCTCCAAAACCATCAAATCACTGGCCACACCCACCTCTCTATAGCCTGAATTGTAAAAAAAAAAAAAAAGGTTCCTTTGTTCCTTGTTTTGGAGTTTGCAAAAGCAAGGGGGGCACATTTCTTAATGTCACTGGGTGGGGTGGGGCTCCTGCTGTAGGTTTCTTAAATTAGACTGAAGCCAATGGGAAACAAGTGTGGAGGTTTTGCTCCTATTAACAGGTGACCTGCTGTTGGATCTCAGTAACTAGATAGGGTTTAAATGCAGAGTTGCCAGGGAGTTACCCTGCCTAATCGAACACAGTGGGTTTCCATATAGTCATGCTTTGCAGGCAGAATATCACACCTAAAATCCTGGCAGGTCCTGCTGGCTTCAGGGATGGAGTGATGGGAAAAGTCTCAGCTAAAGCCCTGGCAGAGCTGGTGGTGCCTGTCAAAAGTACACAATATTGATCTGAATGGAGAAATTGTTTGACCTGGCCTGAGGTTTTGAATTCGCAGTATCAGAGAACACGAGTCTCACATTCGCAAAATCTCTTTTTATTGTCATCTGAAATTGGAAAAGGCTCCTTGGGAAACAATAAGGAGGTTGAAAAGGAATATGTAGACATGGAGCTTGCATATCTGCCACCCAGAAAGCAGTGCAGGCTGTGCCACTGAAGCTTCATCCCCACAGCATGGAAGGGAAGGGAAATAAAAGTGGGATGCCACCCCTAGAGGATAAGGTGCCAGGCCCAACTTTTTGTACATGGCTGGAAGGGATGAAAAAGAAGTTTTCATTATTCTTCCATTCACCCGCCCAGAGCAGGGAGGCTCCTTGGCACATCAACCTCTGCACAGACAGCTGCAGAGTCCTCCAGCCTGCCCAAGAAGTACCAAGGGCATGGGTCACACACACAAGGCCCCGCTAACTCCAGCAGGCATACTACGCCGTGCCACAGCCTATGGCAAAATGAATCCCCTCGCACACATTCAGCACAGAAACAGCTGTGGCCTCAGGAGGTTGAAGGACCAGCTGCTTTAGAGCAATGGCCATTTTTCAAAGGGGCTAAAACAACAGCATCTATTAGTACAGGCAGCTGAAGGACTACCCACAGAATAGTGCCTGAAACAAGATCCAGGACTCATTAGTAACTGAAACAAAGCCTAAACATCCAGGACTGTAATTGTGCATGTGTTTAGTAATGCTCTCGGGGCAGGAGGGCCCCCAAATGCAGAAGGGCTGAGTGGAATAATATACCCTGCTATCTAAAGTGCCCCCACAAAGTCCAGAGTCTGAAGTTACCTAACTGCATCATGGCATCTACTGTATTCCTCTCCTGCTGCGCTTGTACCTCATTTGTGTGTCACTTCCCTTGCCTACCGAAGCATAACTGTGAGGTCCTTGGGGCAGGGACCTGTGTCTTGTCACTCCTATTACGGTACTCTGCAATGTGCCAAGGACACAGGTGGGCACTGTGCAGAAGAGGCAGCTGCCAACGTTCTGTTGTGACCCGGAAACAAAACACAGGCCGGGCCTGGGCAGGGAGAAACGGGCAAGATTCTGCATGGCTGCAATCAGCTGGGGGCAGGGAGCAGATTCAATCTCCAGCCCATGTCAGTGCAAAAGAGTGAGAGAGTGTTGTACCTAGAGGACCTGTGATGGTGTGGGCAAATCCAGACCTGACTCCTGTCGATGCTGCACCACAGAGAGTTGCAAGAATGCACACACGTGTGTCTACACACAGCTGTAAACATACACACTTACCCGGGTTTAGCACCCCCTGCTCTCATTGTACCCATTTGACAAAGATAAACATTACATCTGAATTTCACTTTATTGTTGCTAGCTCATGGTCCTACCTGACCCACCTGTGGGCCTAGCTATATGGAGCTGTATGCTCCCTCCCATTTCCTGGCATGTGAAACTGCAGAATCAGCCTCCTTTATCCACACATCAGCTCTCACAGAAAGACAAAGCTCCATTTCCAAAAGGTTCAGGCCAGTGGCGTAGCGTGGGGGGTTTAGGGGGTGCCGGCCGCACCCGGCGCAACATCTGGGGTTAGGGCAAATCCACGGGTTAGGGGGCGCAAATTACTTGCCTTGCCCCGGGTGCTGACAACCCACGCTATGCCGCTGGTTCAGGCAAGGACTGAGGAGTCAAGACGCCAACTGCACACATACTGTAAGAGCAGCTTAGTAGTCATGCCTGGGTTGATCAATAACAACACAACTGCAACACATCATTAACAATCCTTAATCAGGATTGATGCTCATTTATAATGTGAATTTATAATGTGAATTAACAGGGCAGTTACGGGAGGCAAGCAAACACCCACCTCACCACTTGTACAACTTGCTGAAATTCAACCAATTTGTATTTCTGCTACAAAGTTTGGAAGACACTTTCTGGTTTCAAGCAAATCATTTTCACACCTCCCAGTAATCTCGTCTTGTGCTTCACATTACCCAGTCCTGTTCCTTTTGCACAAGCAAACCTCTCAAGAAGTGCAGAGGACAGAATGCTGAAAAGGAGTGAAGAAAGTTTACAAGAAACCACGGCCCCATGGGCAATTCAGCCTATGGAAGACGACACGTTTCTTTCCCACGCCCTCACAGAGCACACGTTCCTGTCTCTACAGCCAATGCCTGCTCCCTACCAAGCCTGCAGAGTATATAAAAACCTTTTGCAGCCAACCTGCATGTTCAGCAGTCTCTAATCTGCATGCAGATTCCCTTCTGCACTGATATGAAGATCTCAAGAATTCTAGCCTTGTCCCTTGAGGCTCTCCTTCCATGCTTTTTCACCTTCCTCTTGTGTTTCCCCAGACCTGGCTACCTGTTTCATTCATTGTCGATGAAAGCTTTTACCTGTTTCCAGCAAGATCTGGCTTTCTCTTCTCTCCTTACCACTCCCCACCCCACAGTCCAGACCTCAACATCCCTTTCATCCTCTTCTCATCAGTGGATTGAATTCATGGGTTTAATTATGGCTCCAGTGTAGCTTTGAGACCCTGATACTACAAATAATGGATTTATTGCTGTTGGTGCTGTAGGAAATGAAGAAGCATCTCCCCCGAGAAAGGGCTATGTTAGACCTGCCCAAGCACCCTCCTTGCTCATACGGAAAGATTACAATTCTCCCTTTGTAATGCTACAGCAATTAGACATGCATTATATACAGTGATTACAATGCTGCAAAAAAAAAGCTAAGAGCAGATTCTTCCCTCCCAGTGGATAAACCTCAACAATGGGCATGGAAAGATAGTTTTTGTTGTTCATGTTATAATTCCTGTAATCCTATGATTAGGGATACCCAAGGGATTTCTGCTGGAGCATCTGCCAAAGATACCCAAGAGGACTCCAGAAGAAGTGGTATGGTAAGAGAGTGCAGTGGTTGATGTATTGCTCCTTCAAGGTCTGAGTTGTCCGTTTTGGACACTCTCTGTGGCGATTTCATGGGAATATGGTGGTTGGTCATTCTTCTTTCTCAGCTTCCCTTCCAGGCGGCTGAAGGACTTGAATATTTTGCAGAGGATGGGTGTTAAGAAGAGCTGGAAAGCTTTCCAAAACTGTAATGGTGGGGCAGAGGGCAAAGGAGAAAGAAAGCAAGAAATACAAAGATTCTGCAAATTAGACATATATTTGCAAGCTCCAGCTGCTTAAAAGGAGGTTGTTCCCATGAAGGATCCCTAGGTAGAGTAAAGGGAAATTACAGAACAAATCCTTGAATTGCACAAGAATCACACAGCTTCTCATAAGGCTTGTAGAGGGTGCAAACCGGAATGAGGGCACCGGGTATTAGTTGCATTTTGTAGTGCATACATGGCATGAAGGGGAAAACGTTACAGCTCCCAAGAATAGGTGGCTTGGGCCCAAGTAAG